AGAAGCTTTTATTGTTAACAAACCAAACACATTATTTCCACTGGAGAGGATTTTAAAAGCCCTCCTAAGAGAACCAGCTGGAAAGCTGTAATGTTTAAAGCTTCTGATGAAGGGTTCATATGCTCTTTAGACATTTTATCTTCATACTCCTTTTCTTATTTAAATAATTTCTCAAGAATGTATGTACCTGCTAAATGAAAACATGTGGCTTACTTCATCAGGGCTTGGCACATCATCTCAGTCAGTCAGTATTAGGAGAGGCAACATTTTTTAGCCATTTTGAAAAGCAGAAGAGTGAATGAGTCATGGATTTGTAGTCCTTAGGATACAGTCAGGCAAGCTTGTGAAAAAATCAAATCTAGCTCTTTATGAGAACTGGTCTGGGTTTCTAATTGATCCCTCTAGCAAAGAGGCTAAAGAGATATGTCTGATGCTAAAGTGATGCTACTCTTAATTATATACCAAGAAATAAATGAGATCTGTTTCAAGTGTGTGCTATAATTAGCACAAGTTATTAGCCTCCAGCAAAAATATTATACCATCCACTGGTGTCAAGAAGGAAATGCCTAACTATAGCTAAATATCAATGCTGTCATAAATAAAAGAGCCATTTGAACTGAATCTGCTGCTAAGTATACATCCATCTCTCTGTGAACATAGAAAACAGAAATAGTAGCTGGGAACTACAACCTTCTCACAACACACTTTTCCATTTAAGCAAAAAATAAAGCAAGCGGTAGTGGGGGAGAAGGGAAGAAGTTAAAAAAGGAACAGTATCTAAAGTTTTCAATAAGTTTTTGTTTATCTTGCAAGACACCAGGATTAAGTAAAGCTTAATTTTCTCTGAACACTCCATGAAATCACCTCTGCTTTTTTTCACATTCTTTATTTTTTAATCCTCTCATCTCATTTACACTAATGATAATTCACTTACCTTCTAAGAGCCTTATTGCTAACAAGATGCAAGGCAATTCTGTTTGGCCTGTCTGGATTGTAGCATATCTTTTATTCACTTTTGGACCATGTCTCATCTATTTAAGTCATATTTTGCTGCCTCTTAGTTATTTTTAAAAATATTCAAATCAGTGGTGCTTAGAGTAAATAAACAGCATCTTCACACGTAATTTACTGTGCTTGACACATAGATGGTCATCTCTGTTTCTCATTTGCAGCACAGAGAGTAGGTAGCTGCAAAGCAGAAATAGATCAAATTCACAGAGTTCTTAGGAAATGCATTAAAAGTTCTTTTTGTTCCTTGAGGCTATATTAAATAAAATGTGCATGTTTCACTTAATACTGTTACTTTGTTGAGTAGTAAAGTTTGTACTACTGCTTTCTCTGTAGGGTTTGCTTTACAAACCAAAATATATCAGATTTAACAGGAAAAATATTTTCTCTCCATATGTCATTATAATCCCTGGACTATTTGAGTAGATTTTAAATTAGATTTCTATTATCTGTGTTCTGAAACAGCAGTTAGTCAATACTCTGATACTGAAGCCAGACTTACAAAGCCCTTTAGTCTGGTAAATAATCTTGAACTTTTAAAGGGAGTCAAAAAGTAAAACTTAGGCAAGCTTTGAAACGGTAATAACTCCCCCTTCAGGGAAAAAAAAACAAACAGGCAATCTCTCCTCAATATACAAAAACAGAGTACACAAACCAAACCAAGCAAAAATCCACATACACAAAACCAACAAATATAAAAAAACAACCATAGAACAAAAAACAGGAAACAAAACTAATGAGAAATAACATCAGAATGAGAACACACAGCAGGTAGTGAAACTGGAGATGAACCCACCTCTTGCAAAATTATTTTCAAGGTGCTAATTACTGCTCTTGCTGGACAACAAATGGAATAAAAAAATTAAATGCCTCTCAGTTGCCCCATCTCTGGGTCAGGTAAAGGGTGTTGCCCTTGCTGATCAGAAGAATCACTCCATGATGCTATTCAAGCGTACCTCCAGGATATTGTAATACTAAGGGAACAAGGAAAGGCAGACATAAAGGAAGAAGGCTCTTATCATAGAATCACAAAATAGTTTCAGTTGGAAGGGACTTTAAAGACCATCCAGTTCTGCCCCCTGCCATGGGTAGGGAACCTTCCTCTGCACAAGGCTGCTCCAAGCTCCATTCAGCCTGACTTTGAACACTATCACAGCCAGGGAGTCCTCAACTTTTCTGGGGTACTTCTCTCACCATCCTTACAGAGAAGAATTGGTCTTATCTGTAAGACAGTATGTATTTTTACTCCTTTGTAATTACAACAACAGTTTAAAAACAACTGATTCTTAGCTGGCATTTAGCATGATGTTTTTCCCTGGAATTAGTGGAAACATTTATTTTTACTGATAAGTAATAACCTTGTTATCTGTAGCTAAACAACATTAGATTAACAAGAACAAATATCCTTGTGTTAAATAAACAGTACATCGTATAGTACATTGATAATAACAGGTTGTTTTATAAATAAACACTAAATGCACTTTAGGCAGGGCATTTCTGGTATTTATACAGGCCACATCTCTCTTGCCAAATATTTTGTGCAGTTGCAGTATACAAAGGAATTAAGGTTGCATAATTACAGCTGGTAGTTTGTTTCACTAATCAATACAGAACAAATAACTTCACAACCATATTTGTGTAATTATTATTTTCCCTCTTGAAATGGTAGGAGTTTGAATTTCTTATCCACATACAAAGTAACCCAACTGTTGATAAATTAAATATTAACTAAGTTTCTCTCTACAACTGTAGATTGTACTTCAATAAAGAGAATGCCTTGCATCCTGAATCAAAATTAATGATGTAAATGCACTGATTGATTCTCCTTAGAACAATGAAAAATACATTACTGACAAATGTGGTTTTTTAAGTTATCCACAGTTCTATATTTGTGAGCTACAAAGAAAAGAGGGGAAGGGAAAGAAAAGGAAATTTCCCTATTCACAGCACACATTGAAGAATTACATGGTTTTAGTAGACTGCACACTTAGGCAGTTAGTACTGTCCAGCAGATATGGATTCTTTCTTCGCATCTAAGTAAAACTTACTTTTGTTAAGCACGTATTAATGAAAAGCTTTAAGCTTCAGCTTTCAAAACATGACTGCTAATTTTGAGTATTTCCTCTTTCAGAGAACATGTTAGAGTACAACTGCCTTCACTTCTGTTCTTTATAAAAGTGGGGATGATGACAGCAATTTTGTATTTGTATTCTCGCAACAATTAAGACTCTCTACCAAAAGTTACAAACATGCTGCTTGAGGGGCTTTTCAGAATACTTTGGCAAATACACTCAGAAGAAAGTTGCTGTTCCTCACTTGTATACTGCTGAAACCTGTTGTTAAGGATGTGCTTCTTCATCTAGTTTAAGAAGGACAAATTACATAAAGCAAAGTCTGCAGGCGGTCTTCATTGGCCTAGTAGGAATGATTACCACCTCTCCCAGACAGGCAGAGTGCCTCTCTTGGGCTCCCCAGGAGATTTCATTTCAAATCAAGAAAGAACAAGTTCTCTGAGTGCACAAGGTCAGCTATGTGCAGACTGACCTAGGGCAGTGTCCTCTGAGCTTGTCACACCACAATGCCCAATTCTCTTCATCAGCAGTATCATCCTGATGTGTGCTCTCTCTCAGAGGCTGTGGCAGGAGATCCCCTACAGTGATATGTCTGCCTCTTCTGATTTCCAGCTGCAGTGGCAAAGGCCCTGGTTTAAGCTCTACTGATGATCAAGTCCTGAGCTGTGCCCCAGCTGTAAAACTGCTTCCCAGTTTTACTGCAGGCATAACACAACAAGATTATGGCCTATCCACTTCAGCTTCAAGATGAAGACCAAAGCTTGTCAAAAACTGTCAGTTCTCTGCCTTGCTATGTCCTGCAGTAGTCAAGGGTAGGCAGCACATTCCCATCAGTACTGCTGAGAGAGCTGCAGGGCTGCAGCACACAGACCAGTTTGCTTTATGAAATGCCAGCGGGAGAAATGTGTTGGACAGCATACTGATAACTGAACAAGGAAACCTGACAAAAACAGCTGCCCATATTCTATCAGAATCATAGAATCACTTATGTTGGAAAATACTTTTTAAATCATTTGGTCCAACTGCATTGTGAAGAATCATAAATTTCACGATTTTCTGAAGTTCTTTACTAATTTTAATTCACCACCTTTTAAATCAAAGTCCTGATGAGGAAATATTGAAATGCAAGACTTAACCTGTTCTATGTGTTCAGTCCTGGTAATATAAAAGCAGTGACTTAACCCAAAGCACAGGAAATGTCAGTCTTAATCGCATTAACATGTAGACCCTGGGAGTGTCTGCCAAGAGAAACTTTGGAATTAATATAATCAGAGAACAAATAGCAGCAGAATAAATTCTGGAGATTCCCTCAGTCCTATTCTCACTGATATTTCTTTTTCCTCTGCCTGCTATGAAAAGTATCCTCATTCTCGTAAGCTTTCAGCTGACATAACAATTTAAAAGACATCAATACTCTTCAACGACCTAGTGATTTTCTTATTATAGGAACCGCTCACTCATTTCTCCGTGCACTCAAGCCTCTTCTGCTATCCAGCTGTCCAGACACTGTGAAGCTCTGCTTTTGCATGATCAGGGACAGCGGGCTTGGTGTGGTTTTTGCCTGATGCAGCAGCTCGACAGCTCCTCGGGAACAGTTTTCTACCTCGCTTACAGCCCTCTGCAGGGCTGCGGCCTCTCGCAAAAAGAGCGCCGACCTCGAGCGCCGTACGACGCCGTCCCTGCTCCCGCTTGCACACCATTCCCGGGAAGCTCCGGGCGGCTCTCCTGTGTTTCCCGGGCACAAACTGCGCCCCGGCTCCGGCTGGCGGACGCGCGGCACTCTGCTCGCTCTCTCCACCCGAAACCCCCGGCTCCTCCCGGGCCCGGGGCGGCTCCCACGGCGGGGGACGATCCTCTCCGCTCCGTCCCGGCCCGTCCAGACCGCAGACCGCCCCGCGCCTTTCCGCCCGGCTCCGCCTTTCCCGTGCCGCTGCCATGGCCGGGCCGGCGCCGCCGGTCACGCAGCAGGTCGGGCGGGCGCGGGGCGGCGGGCGGCGGCCGGAGCTGGAGCGGCTGCGGGAGGCTGCCCGCTGCCCGGTGCTGGACGCGGACGGCAGGAGCGTCCCCTTCCAGGCCCTGTTCGCGGAGCAGAAAGCGATCGTGCTGTTCGTGCGGGTGAGGAGGGGCCGGCGCGGGGCCCAGCGCGGCTCCCGGCGGGGCCGTGCGGGGCGTAGCACGGGCTGGGCTGGAGCGGAGGGGAGGAAGCGCAGAGCAGAGCGGTGCTGCTCCGGAGACCCCCTGTTCTTTGGGAAAGCGAAACACGATTTACCAGAAAGGAAATACTTCTTCAGCCGGGTGTTTCGAGAAACAAGTATCGTGTTTCTTGATTTCTCAGCTGTCGAGCCAGCTATCACATTTCTAAAATACCTAGGAGTAAAAAATATTTGCTATGTGCAAGTCTGCAGGCCCAGTGTCCCTGTTCAGATTTGAGTTAAACCGGGATTTTGGCTAATCCAAATGTGGTGCCTGGAATATTTACCTTTCCTTGTTCCTGATCACCTCCAAAGTGGCGTGTGCTCGAAGTCTGCTGCTTCGTTTCTATGCAGTTATATCTGTTTCTGACACATTCAATTGGGTACATTGCAGAACTTTTTGTGTTACACCTGTAAGGAGTATGTAGAAGATCTGGCAAAAGTCCCCAAGGCATTTTTACAAGTAAGTCTGCTCTTTATGTGTTTGTGGCTGCAATTACGCAGATCTGTTAAGTCCAGCTACACGCCTATGTAAAGCTTCGAGGAATAAAAAAAAAAAAAAGCTCAGAAGAAACGCTTTCATTGTTTGCTACAGTAGCAATAATGAATCTGCCTAGGAGACGCAGGAAAGGATTTATGGCACTCTGTTGCAACAGCGTTATTTCTCTCTGCCCTATTAGCTTGGTGCTCTTTTTACTCTTGTGCTCAGAACAGTCAGACAATATCTGACAGGCATTTCTTTCAGAATTAGTAGTGCCCTGGACAGCTGTCTTCTGACTGGTAACTACTGCCCTTTCCATTATGCTAGTAGGGCCAACTGATGTGCACGGAAAAAGAGCAGAAAATTGATCTGGATTAAAAATAGTATCTTTTTGTATGGTGATTTGTAAGCTGCATTAGTAGTGTGTCCTGCTCTCCAGGGCAGCTGCACAAACAGGAATGACAGTGACAGAAAAGAGAAGTAGAGTGGGCAGGGGTTGCTATCAACATGTGTTTTTTTGGGTGGTAGGAGACGCCAGAGAAGACAATGATCTCCTGCTAAATGTGGAGGGTCAATCTGTCTCTTCTAGACTGCTGATTGAAATTCTGCCATACTTTATTCCCAACAGCAGTGTAGCCAATGACAGAGACTCAGGTCATTGCTGATGGCAACTCCACCTAAGTCCATCTGAGATGGACTAGGAATTTGAGGACAAAAAGGGCCAATTTCTTTGTCAGCTTCCCTTTTCAGGAGAGATATTTCTAAACTGTTTGATCAGTGTTACTCAAAAGGATGGCTCCTCAAAGAAATGTGTCTAGAGGGTCAAAAATGTCTATGCTTTTCTTAGTGCAAGTATCCTGGTTTTAGGAGGGCTTCTTTTCATAACAAGCAAAATGATTTTATGTGGGAAATTATTATATATGGGAAAGGTGAATATATAATAAAACAACCTTATATTTATGTACTTTTTTTAGTGATATTTAAATGAACTTCCATTTTGGGCTTTGTTTTACAGACTCAGGTCCAAGGCTGCACCTGCAAAAAACACCAGTGCATATAAATGCAAGTTATAGCTATAAATGGGTCCATATATGTAAATCCCAAATGTTTGGGCACCATCATTTGTGTGCTTCTTCTTTAGATGTAGGTGCAACTGAGTGTAAATTTCGAGTTTCCAAAATCATAGCATGTTGCAATTAATTGAAAAGACAATCCTACCCATGGTACAGGGAACTCCCAAAGTTTACACAACTGTAATTTAAAAGTTATCTTTAAAAATAATTTTTCACTTAAAGAATTAATTTAGCTGCTAACTGTGGGTGCTATACAAAAGAGCAGTCTCCAAACATGGAAGATATGTTGACATCAAATAATTTTAAGTCAGTGCACTGTGATCACTAACTTGGGACACCAGATTCTGTTAATGTTTTGAAGTTATATAGGAACACCCAGCTCCTCTTTACATCTTCCATACCAATGTTCTGTTCTAGGAATCAAATGTGAGGCTTATAGTTATTGGACAGTCATCATATCATCACATCAAGGTAAATAAAGTAGTTATTAAATACAGTGCGTCCTCTGTTACATCTTAATGGTCTGTATTGAGGGATTTGGTTTGCATGTAAAGGTGGTCTTTTGCAACAGCAATAAAAAAGGATAGTATTCATGAGGCAATCTAATAGTAATACATGACTAAAGCAAATAATTAACATTTGCAGTTTAAAAACCACCAGGGGTTGCTAAGGAAACATTTTTTTCTTGATGTCACTGGAAGCTTTGTTTTAATAGAAGCTTTGAGGCTAAAAATCTTCCACTTTAACATAACTAACAAATACACAATTTTCAAATAAGAGGGAGGAGCATGGAGGTGTCAGGGTGTCAGTATTTTTGCTGTTGTCAGTAGACCCTAACTTGTTACTGCCTTAACCTTACAAATACGACTTTAGTTTTCTGTGTCTATCTGTCTATGCCTATATTTTGCAGCCCTTTTGCAGTTTAACTGGGTATACACATGAAATGTATGTAGATCCACTAAGGGAAATTTATAAAATACTTGGGATGAAAAGAGGTGAAGGTAACAAAGCATCAGGTAAGCATAATTTTCTTACCTTATTTAGACTTTCACAAACAAAACAAAAATGCTCTGATAAAATGGTCTGATCACAAAGTAGAGAAAGTTAATCGCCCACTGGACTGTCTCTCATAGGCTATATTTTGTGAAAACGCTGGTAATCAGGAATCTAAAGTATTCATAGCTGCTGTTAATTGTTGTTGTTCTAATATACTTTCATATTTCTAGATAACAAGTGTATTGTGGTTTTGTTTAGTTCGGAGCCCTCATGTGAAATCAAACACTCTTCTGGGCAGTATTAGGAGTGTATGGAGAGCAATGACTGGCCCAGCTTTTGATTTTCAAGGAGACCCTGCTCAGCAGGGAGGAGCTTTGATTATAGGCCCAGGTGAGCTGCTTTGTTTTGTGTGAAAGTCACCACTGTCTCCTTCAGCTGTTTGCTGCCATTTCACCTGCTGTCCCAAGCAGACAGTCTGGTGTTTGAACTGTGTGATTTCTGTCACATGAAGTAACCTGCAGAGTGTAATTGTGTAGTCCCATCTCCCACAGAGGTGGCATAAACCTGATCACAGTCCCGCAGAAATTAGTTGGATTGCTGATGGAGCAACTGCCTCAAAGTTTGGAGGGTTTTCTTGATATCGTGGTATTTACCTACATTCTGTTTTCACATTTGATTTGAGTGAGGCATTTAATGTGATTTTATTAGAGGGGTAGAGCATGAAGGGGGAATTGCAACATGACAGTCATCACATTATTAGGAAACATCATGCTACAGCAGATTTAAACTAGTTAAGTGCCTCAATGTTCCTTGCTTCTTTAATATAATTAAAACATATTTTGTCATTGCTTAAAATACAGAATATTGTGAAGTCTACAGAACTAATACACATTTGTACAATAACTGGTAGGTAGTCAAAATGCTGCTTCTATTTGCTTACATCTTTGAATAAATAAATATGGTATTCAATAATTTACATGTTATTCTCATTCCAGGCAACGAAGTTCATTTTTTGCATCTTGATAAAAACAGGCTGGATCATGTTCCCATTAATACAGTCTTGCAGCTGGCAGGAGTTAAAACAGTGAATTTCTCAAACAAACCCCAGATTATTGACATATGACACTGATGTAATATATAATTATTTAAAAGTTTGTGCTCTACAAGAACAGCTCTCCATTGAATTACAAGAAGTATTAGTTCTGTTGCTTCTTTGTGGGACATTTGAAAACTTATCTAGAAAATCAGAGCATAGAATAAACTACCTGACATTAGAGATGGATACAAAAGTGCTATTTCCATTGAGTACAAGATAATAAAAACTAAAACACAATTGAGACCGATTGCAAAAAATCCTGGAGCTTGTCATTGTCTCATCTGACAAACTTGCTATTGTTTTTTTAAACATCATTGTTTAAGGTGCACTAAAGTAAGAAATCAGATTTTGCTCAGGAAAAACTTGGGATTCTTGCCTTCAGCAGATCAACACTGGCTTTCAATCCAAGACTTTTCAGTACTGTTTTAAAGCTTCCAGCACTGTATGACAATTTTATATTGAAATACACCTTGAAAAGTCACAATTTTGAATAGCTGGACTTCATTTGCATCTGGCAATGGCAGAAGTTATGAAAAACATTTCATAAATTCAAATAAATATTTTAAATACACCATCATGTATTGTCTGCAATTCTTTTGTGTGACACAAAATCATGGGTAAGACCAGAGAGAGATGTGTCTTAAATTTGTATCTGATCAGATTATTGGTTTTGGCATAAGCCGAATTATTTGTGTTCCTATGAAGATTTGCAGCAGAATGTTCTTCCTTTGTATATATGTATTTTCTCTCAGAGCAAGAGGTCTCAGAATAAAATGTTCTTAGTTATTTCAGTCTTAGACAACTGAAGTAAGCATAACAGCATTCTTTCTGGTTTGCAGTTCTGGCAAATTTCATATTATTAATTTATCTGCAGATGTTTATGTTCAACTTCTGTTGGTTTCATTAAAGTAGACATGCCCTCTTTCATCTAGGATACACCTCTTTTTAGCAAATTGGAAAAAAAAAAAATCAAGATTTATGGAGGAGAGTATCCTTCTCTGCAGCCTTTGACCTTCACTGTAAAATGCTACCATACATACAAGTCTCAACCACAAATTTTCTCCCCTTTTAAGCTTTACTGCAATTGTGAAATGGCATTTTGTGAAGATGTTTGTTCCTGCATCCATTAAGGTCACTGGCAGGCCCAGAGCAAGGTCTGGAAAGCTTTACACTGTTAAGAGCATGTGAAATTTTAAGTGCACTGTTCCTTGATGAAAAATAAAAGGCTTGCTTAAGAAGCATAACAGTACTGAACAATGTAATTCTATTAAACATACTATGCCTTAGGAACTTATTCATTACACCCCTATTTTGATATTATGTGTTTAGAAGAATGTTTTTATTAATGGAAAAATACAGTTGACAGTTCTCTGCTAAACAGCACTTGGCACAGGGCTGAAGGTGTGCAGACTCTGAATCCCCAAACTCGGCATAAGAGACTGGGACAGGCAGCTCAAGCTCACAGGGGAGTGAAGTCTGCTTTTCATGAACCACTGTTCCTACAGTCTCAAATAAGGAGCTGCCTCCTTCCTCCAGCACTCTCCCAGCTCAACATTATTTTTCAGCTTGCCAGGAACTCTGGAATGCATCTGCCTCTCTGCCTTATGTTCCTTAAATAACAGCCAAAAGCAGGCTGGAAAACTGGTCATATGTTTGTAAAACAAAGACAATAAACAAATAAAAAATATTTTCAAAGACAATGAATGATGAATACTCAGTTTATTTGTGGTGCTTCCGCTCTGCTTCATTCATCTGATAATCACAGCTAAGGACACTGATTCTCGTTCCACTTTTATTTTGCAGTTCTTCTTGGTGCTTTTGATTTTTAAGGAAATGTTCTAGCTGCCTTCCTGATTCTTTTGCTTTTAGCAGAATTAAAACAATATACAATGATAATAGTTCTCTTGGTCCTAATAAGCACATTAAAAAAAAAAATAACTACAGCTAAAACAACTATGGACTATTAAAAGATATTGGAATTATTTAAATTGTAGTTTTACAGCTCTTTAGACTCAAGTCATCCACCCTCACTATTTCAATACTGACAGGAACCATACCACAACCTCTGTGTTATCCCAGCAAAATCTCTTCCTCAGAAAGACTCACAAACTGCAGACAAGCAAAAGGAGAGAGGAAGAAAGAGGAGAATTCAGCAGAAGAGCTGAGGTGTTCTAACGAGGGCAGTGGCCCTGCCTTTTGCATCTGGCCACAACGAGACAATGACTCCCACTCTCACAATGAATTGGAACAACGATGGCCACAGTCATGCTTGGGAGAATTTGTTTCCGAAATGTCAGAAGAATTTTAGGTCTCGGGTGTTATTTAAAAGGATATTTTTTAAAAAGTCATGCAGTGAAAAGTGGCAAGGGGTATGTTTTTCCTCCACAAATATACACATTCAGCAGATGGTAGAATACGTCCTCAAGGGATTTCATCATGGCCATTAGATGAAGGCGGGAAGGGAGTGGTTCTTAAAAGCTGTTTTACCTACTAGCTTGGTTTGGCGCTACGGCTACTTAAATTAACTGTGTGTTTTAAAGTATCACTGTGTCTAAGGGGCAGATTCAAACACAGTTATTTAAACTTTTCGGCTAAGTCCATTTAACGATCAGACCGGAAGCCCGCATGCACTGGACTGTTTGAAGTTGGCCTGACGAAGTACCAAGCCCTTGGGCTCCTCTTTCGCTGTGCGCCTCGGGAGGGGCACCTGGCGGGCTGCGGGGCCCCAGGAGCGCGGAGTGCCCGGGGCGGCGGCAGCGGAGCCCCGGAGGCGGCAGCGGAGCCCGGCGGGAGCAGCGGAGCCCCGGGGGGAGCAGCGGAGCCCGGGGGCAGCAGCGGACCCCGGCGGCAGCAGCGGAGCCTGGGGGCAGCAGCGGAGCCCCGGGGGGAGCAGCGGAGCCCCGGCGGCAGCAGCGGAGCCCCGGCGGCAGCAGCGGAGCCCCGGGGGGAGCAGCGGAGCCCCGGCGGCAGCAGCGGAGCCCCGGCGGGAGCAGCGGAGCCCCGGGGGGAGCAGCGGAGCCCCGGCGGGAGCAGCGGAGCCCCGGGGGGAGCAGCGGAGCCGCGGGGGCAGCAGCGGAGCCGCGGGGGCAGCAGCGGAGCCCCGGCGGCAGCGGCGGAGCCCCGGGGGGAGCAGCGGAGCCGCGGGGGCAGCAGCGGAGCCCCGGGGGGAGCAGCGGAGCCCCGGGGGGAGCAGCGGAGCCCAGCGGCAGCGGCGGAGCCCCGGCGGCAGCAGCGGAGCCCCGGCGGCAGCAGCGGAGCCCCGGGGGGAGCAGCGGAGCCCCGCGGCAGCAGCGGAGCCCAGCGGCAGCAGCGGAGCCGCGGGGGCAGCGGAGCCCCGGGGGGAGCAGCGGAGCCCCGGGGGCAGCGGCGGAGCCCCGGGGGGAGCAGCGGAGCCCGGGGGGAGCAGCGGAGCCCCGGCGGCAGCGGCGGAGCCCCGGGGGGAGCAGCGGAGCCCCGGGGGGAGCAGCGGAGCCCCGGGGGGAGCAGCGGAGCCCCGGCGGCAGCAGCGGAGCCCAGCGGCAGGAGCGGAGCCGCCCCCGCCCGTGCCGCGCGCCCGCCCCGGGCCCGGCGGGCGCCACGTCAGCAGCGCGGGCCGCCGCGCGCGCCCGGACAGGCGGCGCCCCGGGGCCGGCAGGGGGGGCGCGCGCGCCCCGGCCCACCTGTTACCGCGGCCGCCGCCGTGACGTCACACCCGCCCCCCCCGCCGCCGCCGCTCCGCGCCGGTGACGCCACAGCGCGCGCCCCAATCAGGGGCGGGCGCGGCGGGCGCTCCGCCGGGCGGCGGCGCGGCGGGAGGGGGGCGGCGTCCGCGGGGACGCGTCAGCCGCCGCCGCCGCCCTCATCGCCGCGGGGTCCCTCCCCTCCGTCCGGCCGCCCGGTCCCCGCGGGATGAGGGGATCGTAGCGCCGCGGCCGCCTCCGCCATGAAGCGGAAGAGCTGGGCCGAGGCGCGGCGCCGCGCGGCCCCGCCGCCGCCCGCGCTGAAGAGGACGCGGGGCGCGGCGCCGCGGGCGGCGGGGGGCGAGGCGGAGCGGCGGCGGCAGCCGCCCCCCGCCGGTCCGGAGACCTGCCTGAGGATCGCGGGTGAGGGGGTGTGCGGGGGGCGGGGGTGTCCCGGTGTCCCGGTGTCCCGGTGTCCCGCCGCGCTGTCCCGTCCCGCGGCCCCGGGTGGGCAGGAAAAGTTCCTGCGGCGCGGTTCCCCGCGGCGCTCGGCAGCGGGCGGCGGCCCGGGCGGTCCCGGAGCTCGGCGTGCCGCTCAGCCAAGTGTTGAGAGCTGCGCCGCTCCTCCGGCGGGAGCGCTCGTCCCGCCGCTGTCCCGCAGCCCGAGCCGTGCCCAGCACCGATCGCCTCTTGCTGCTTCTTGCTGGCGTTTTCTGCCCGCCAGAGAGAGTGAACGGAAAAACAACGTTAAACTCGTTTCTGTCCGTTCAACACGTTGTGGGGTGGAAAAAAACCTAGCATGTTTCTCCATGTATTGGGGGAATGTGTATTTGCGCACACGCACGCACAAATTTATCGATATCTAATCTGTGTCTACATATATAGATAGATGTATAGATAGGTATAGATACTTGATTTTCCTGATGCCCTGATATCGTGCTTGCTGGCTGATGAGTAAAATAATGGGCAAACGTCGCGCCTCCCCTTGACATGCAAGTGCCAACAGCTTGCGTAGGCAGGATTGCTTAGTGTCGTCCCTCCTTTTCGTGACTCCAGGCTCCGAGCCGCGCTTTGTTTTGGCACACGAGTCTGCCTCTTTTAAGAAGTCTGTTGGATCACAGCCAGAAAATGCTGTGTTAAGGTTTCAGCTCCGCAGCTAAAAGATGGCCTTGAGTTTAGTTTGCCTAAAGGCAAAAAACTACAACAAAAATTACTTTTTAAGTCATATGTCATAATCTCAGAATTTTAGTGTATTTACAACTTCTCACAAAAAGCAAGAAATACACCTCCCGGCACATTTGTGTGAAGGGCGTGGAAAATATCTGTGGACAGAGCAACCAAAAATATAAAGAGCAAACATGCAGAAAGCCACCAATGTACCTTTTATTTCTGTATGAAAAGCATGGTTCCTTATATTAACTAGTGTGTCTTCTACATAACAGTATGCTTAGAAAACTGTAAGATTTTGTTTTGAAAATCTGGCATAGAAACGTGGAAAGAATATAAACTCCCAAAGCTTACCAGAGGAAGCTTCTACTTAAAAAGCTTATTTTTAAAAAACTTTAATACTGTCAAGGAGTGAAATCCTAAATATTCTGGCCAAAAATTCAGCATTTTAGGCCTAATCTACACTGAGAAACATAATGGTGTACTTATTTACAGAACTCTAAGGCTCCAATTGCTCTATATGTGTTTTGTTTCTATAGCAGCAACTGTTCATGTAGGACATTATGATAGTATGATTTTAAGGTCAGTTGTCGAAACCCCTCATGTAACAGATAATGACTTTTTACTATCAAAGTGATTTTACTACCAGTATTACCAAGCAGCCCTGTCCAGCTCACATCTCCAGCAAACAGATCTGTATAACCATTCTCATGAAACAGTTGCTTTGACCTGGTAACGTGTGTGTGGCATCAACAAGCCCATTAAATTACTGTATTTTCTCCTTCAAGAAAGCGTTCACCCATTTAAATTCAGTAGAGCACCTAGTCTTTGACCTGTGTTTTTTCAGTGGGATTTCACCATGTGCAGCAGTACTTGGTATAGTAAATTTTATTAAAGTGCACTTTAATTAACTTTACTTTGATTAAAGTAAATTTGATTATTATGTTTAACAATATTTCATTTTGTCTTGATCTTGCTGTGCACAGTGGCTGCTGTTTATTGTCCAATTTTTAGTTCTGATTCAAGTTATAGTCTAATGTTTAGTTTTATAAGTTTTTAGTTTTAAAGAAAAATCTTTAAAGTATAACCCAACAGGCTTACCTTTCTGTTCAGCTGTTTTAAAGTTCTGTCAAGGTTTGAAATGTCAGTTCTGCCTTCTCATGATGCAGTTTTGAGAAGTTGATTAATAGTTGGGTACTGGAGACAAAGCATAAGGTATTATTCCAAAAAATGGATGTACTGGTAAATATTTGAACCACTGTAAAGACTGGGAGGTCTGTGTTAGCTTATCTGCTTACAGGAACAGTGCCAAACTTATTAAGAACATTGCAGGCCACCCTTATTTTCATCTTTGCAAAAGACAGAAGCAGAACACAAACCGAAATTGCTGTAAAGATTTATGGATCTTTTGTTCTGTGATGTTACATTCATAAACAGCAAAGTTTCAAATCCATTCTAGGAATTTTATACCCACAATACTTATAGTAATCATTGTATTTCTTTATTTTGTAATTAATTGTATGTATCAGCCATATGTCAAAATCACTATTAATTAGAACTGTTTAAATATTCTCAGTTACTAGTAAGACTAGTACAGAAAAGCTGTCCTTTTAAAAAGTTATTAATTTTGGACTGTTAAGCTGCATGGTAAACTTTATCATTTTCTCTTTGTCAACTAGTGCATGAGGCTTGCTGGTATGAATCCAATTTGCTGGAACTGAATGCATTTCATCTGTTTATTAGAAGCATATTCCCATATCCTTCTGATCTCTGAGAGAAGTAATTTATATGATCTAAATAAAATGTAGCAATATGATCTAAATAAAATGTAGCAATGCTCTGTGAGATGCTTGGAAGCTGTTAATTTCCTTTCCTCCGCTGCTTTTCTTTCTCATTGCTCTTACTTTATAAAAAACATTTTAAAGAGGAGGTGGAATTATAATGCATAATCTTCAGGCAAAAGGTGTAGGTTTCTCTCACACCTATTTTGTGTGGTTAATTCTAAAATGAAATAATTACAATAAATATACATGGAATTAAATTTTAAGTAATATAGTGTCATGGGTAATTTCTTGATGTTTGTTCTTCCTGCTGAATGTATATCCAGTTTGTTTACAGAATTGTACTAACATCTTAAAGGACACTTTAAGCTACAGTGTACATACCTATTTTGTTTTTCTTCATTGAGAATAATTTTGTTTATGTTGTCAGTTGGAGTTGATAATTAAATATTTATTTTAATGTATTCATTGATATGTGGGTTGTTTTTTTGGTTTTGTATTGCAGTTTATTATATTTTTCAAACCATTAAGTTGTCTTTTTCCAGGAGTGCTGGTTTGTCATTATAAATTTTGTGTACCCAATAGAAAACTATTTTTCTAGAATGCTAAGGACACTTCTAATAAGTATCATTAAGCTTCCAATATTTTGACTCTCAACATTTTCAATTAGTTTTTATTATGCAGCTGTCTCAGTACAAAAACTGTGGTTACTCTTTTATCAATATGACCTCACTTACTTGTGAGTCTTCTCCAAAGTTAAGATCTTAAATACATGTTTCAGGCTTTTAGTGTCTAATTCATCACTGAAAGTGCACACATATATGCAGTCTCATGTATCAGTCAAGAGCAGCAGAGTGGAAGCACTCTGTGTAAGTGAAGTAACAGTGTTGATCAGTCATGACATGGCACTGAAAATAAGGCTTTCATAGTTTTGTTTTTAAAAAAAGTTCCACTATCTTTTTAGTGTACTTTTATTTTCCTTTTCACAGTCCAGGCTGTTGTTCCAATTGGCAACTCTATCATTAGCTGAATTTGAAATACCATAGTGATGATGACTGAATGAATTTTTTTAAGGATAGGAAGATTAAAAAGAATATCTTCAACAAATATTGAAGCTTTCTAAGTTAAACACAACAAAATTCCATATACCAACTCTGAATTCAGAAATATACTCCTCTTAAAATAGTAAAAACTCTTTGGCTACATTCCTGGTGATTCAAAACAGACTAACACTGGGTTTTGTTGTACTGTCAATCACTGAGTTTCTCATCTAGGGCATCTATTTAACAATAGAACTGTAGAATTTCTGTTGTATTGAATAATGTTTGCTAATTATATGCAAACTTGTCCTGCCACTAATGCCTATTTAATATTTAGTTGTCACTTAAAGTCATAGAATCACTTAGGTTAGAAGAAGCCTCTAAGATCATCAAGTCCAACTGTAATTCTTGAATTAATGAAATTTCTTTCCTGAAGGCCTATACAGCACAACCTGAGAAGCATCAGGCTTGTTGAGAGTAAAGGAAGGAGATTATTTTTTCATCTCTAAATTCACATTAATGTGATTTTGTAGTGGTAGCTCTCAATTTTCTACACATCTATTTCCACAGAACACTGTGGCTCTGATAAACAGAGTGTTTTTCCTTCTGTAACTCTCTGCAATCAGCTTGGATAGTCATGCTTGTGCTAGCTTTAGTCTCACTAGCTGAGGCACCAGCAGTAGCACAGCTGTGGTAAGCTATGCCTCAGTTAGGGGTACAATGGCATTTTGGTTGTACTTTGGATACTTACTCAAATTAAATGCCTGCAGAGACATCCATGCTTATGTATTTTAACTGTTCTGTTATATAAGGCTGACAAAATTAAGTGTATTTTAAGTATATCTAAAATGCTGCAGCCGTATCTCCTAATTGCAGAGCAGATGCAGCCTGTAAGGCAGTGATCCCTACTCTGTCTTTCTTCTGAGACATGATTAGAAAGGTCTGCTCTAGTTTGATAGTTTTCGGATGATTTTTTATCAGAAATTTGCAGGAATTAGGAAGTGCTCAAGTGCAGTATATGTAAATGAAATACTAAAGAGCTAAAATTAGCAAAGACAACATAAAGATAATGAAAGGGAAGCCTTGCTCCTGGCAGTCCAAACCTTTGTGGAATCCTGGTGAAATCAAATCATCAGTGCCTGAGTGTATTTTATGTATAAACTCTCAACCCTGCAATCAGATCCTTGATGAAGGAATTCTCCTTTCTCTTAATTTCTGTTTAAAAAACTAACACACTAATCCTTGATTAAATAGAACTTGGAATGTGTTTGGAAAAAAAAAAAACAGGTAAAAACTGACATGGTGAGTAATACAGCATTTGTCAGATGTTGGACTAGTAAATCAGGAGAAGAGTAAATACACTTACAGGAAATTTCTTCATTCTAAAATATCCCCATAGGAAAAATGTTAAAAAGATGGAGCCTGCTGTTTACATAATAGGGAGTAATTGTTAGCAGTGCACAGGAATGGACAGCTTGTCAGGATATTGGCATTTGACACACACTGCTCTTATTGTGAGGTACTTCTGTAAGCTCATTAAACTCAAGTTCCTTTCAGGTGTTTTAAGAAAAGCAACAATGAACACAGTTCAGAGATACCAGAGCTGAACCATTGCCAATAGCAATTCTGAAGACCATATACACACTGCTTGCTCAAGATAGGAATTTTTATTTTTGCTGGGCATTTTTGCAAGCGCAGAAGCATTTCAGTAACAGTACAAGCACTGAGGATGCAAGTGATTCTTTTATTCCAAATCATGTTTTGAAGCCAAATGTTAAATTACTTTAGGTCTTTGACCTGTGCAAATTATATTTATTTTCATTTTTGTCCTCCTTTTGTATTTTAAGACTTTGGATTGCTCTTTGCAAAGTACTTTTATATTTTCAAAAGTCTTGTAAAGTTTATCTGAAGAAGCTGAGTGCAAAAAGGTAGCATTCGAGTACCCAAGGAACTCAGTTTGAGTACTACTGCCATTCTTCACAGACTTTGATGTGGTTATTGTTTGTGTACAACGAGGAGGGAGAGCTCAGTCTAGTCAATAATTAGACTGGCACTTAAAGACAGATGCCATGGAGGGAAAAATTTTGGCTGCATATTTCTGCTCTTAACCCCCAGCAGGCTGGTTCAGCAGGCTAACTCAGAAGATTTTTCCTTCTAAGGAACCTGGTGGCAGCTAGCCATTAAATCAGTTTAGAAGTGGTGTGAAATTATAGCTTGGGGCTGCAGTGACATGTGTTTAATCTAGCAATGCCAGTTTAAATACAATCCCTAGATATCATGTCCTCTCAGTTCTCCTTTCTACTTCCTCCCTTGCCCTTGATTTTCCTGAACACATTAGTTCTCCTTCTCAGAGCAGAGGGAAGTAAGTCAGCAAAGCAGCCTTTTACTTCTTTTCCACTTTTCTTTTTCTTCTTTCCTTTTTCTTCTTTTCTTGCCTTCTTTTTACTTTTT